CATACATTTCATTTGAAGTGTAGGATTAATAAAGGGTTTATCCAAAGGGGAAGCACAAAGATCATTGAAGGTCGCAGTGCAAGGGCCAGACTTTATGGCCCACCCCTTACACACATACATACATACATGTGGAAGCATTCTACAGAAGTCCTACAAAGTTGCATTTCAAATTTTTACTCATAACAACAAATACTGCAAAATGAACCAACAACTATACAACTGTACAATTATATATTACTGAGATGAATTCACATTTTTTAACACTAGTCCACTCTTCACAGTCACTGCAATGAGAACCTCCGATCTCAGAAATCAATATATATTGACTATAAAACTAAATATGTGCTTACCTGATCTGATATCTGAGGTTCTGGTAAAACCAACTTGCTGCACTTCTTAGCTGGCTCTTGATTCCGCACCATAGCCAAAGCAAAGTCATTCTCCTTTCGCTGCTTCAATTTCTGCTTGTTCTTACGGCACTCACGCTAATACAAATATAGAACATGTACATTATGACAAACAAATCTTGCGTAAATCTTTACGCAAACTAAGCAAATTTCAAAGGACGGCTGTTTGGGAATTATGGGAGCAATGAGAACAGCTCCAGCAGCTGCAATGGAAATCCTACTAGGACTCCCTCCACTGCATTTGCAGATGGACGCAGAGGCCAAGTTAGGAAATTACAGACTACGTTGCAATGATCAATGGAGACCTAAATCCCAAGGTTTTGGACATGCATACAAGACTCGGGACATGAAAAAAGAATCCATCCTACAGATGGGATCTGATAAAATGCTACTGAAACATGTTTATGATAGACCCTTCACGATCAGACTTCCTGATAGAAGTGAATGGAAAGAGGGGTTTCAACCCGATACAAAGTGGGGACTAATCTGGTATACAGATGATTCCAAGACAAATAAAGGCACTGGAGCTGGAGTGTATCGTGATGGAACAGGGTAGAAACGTAGTTTCGGCCTTGGTCAGTACACAACAGCATTCCAGGCAGAGGTGCCATTAAGACATGTGCATTTGAGAATTTAGATAGGAACTATAGAAATAGGAACATATATATCCTATCAGACAGTCAAGCTGCAATTAAAGCACTTGGTACACACCAAATCTCTTCAAAACTGGTTTGGGACTGCCACCAATCCCTCATACAATTGGCCAGACATAACAGAGTACAACTGATATGGGTGCCAGGTCATGAGGGTATTGCAGGGAATGAAACCGCAGATCTGCTTGCAAGAACAGGATCTGAACAGCCATTCATAGGACCTGAACCAGCTTCCAGCATCTCAATTGGAGTTGCCAAGAAAGCATTCAGGGACTGGACTAACAGAAATCACAAAAAACACTGGGAATCCACAACTGGATTCAAACAGGAAAAAGGATTTATATCAGGATCCTCTGCCAAAAGAACGAGGGCCTGTTAAAATTAAACAGAGATCAACTAAGATGGGTGGTAGGATTACTTACCGGACACTGCCACCTAAAAGGACACCTTTTCAAGATCGGACTAACAGATAACCCAACTTGTGAAAGGTGCCTACTAGAAAACGAATCAGCCACACACATCCTGTGTGATTGTGAGGCCATACCTTATTTAAGATTTTCTCACTTGGGTCAGTTCTTTATGGAACCAAGCGTCTACTATGACACCCCCACAAGCAGGGTCCTACACTTTATTAAAAGTGTTGGATTAATAAAGGGCTAATCCAAGAGGGAGCACAAGAGAGCACTGAAGGTCGTAGTGCGGGGGCGGGTTTATATGGCCCACCCCGTACATACATTACATTACATTACATTAAAGGAAATCCAGATATATACCAAATTATGTAACTAGAGCGATGTTTCATCCTGACACTGATGAAAACACATTTCATCCACCTTCTGGTGCTTCAACTGGTCCTTGCACAGATGCATATTCTTTCTTTCATTAACCTCTAATTGACAATACACATTTTAATTCCCTGAAGCAAAAGTAATCTTTTGCATCTGTATTAAAGTGCAATTGCTTGACAAATAATATAACAAGCAAGAAATAAAATGGTTTGAGAGTAGCTCTGAGGAGAGACAAAACAGATTAGCTTTTCTTTCATATTCTGTTAACAAAGACTTATACTTAAACTACAGCCTTTAATCATTTCTTATTCACTACATGTTTACATCACATTGTGGTTATCATCAGGTGAAACACATACATATTGTCACGTATTGGGCGTATATCGCGACAAATAACTTCACGCCGTATTTTATATAGCGAATTTTATTTCACATTCGCACTTACAATCACCCAAATTACAGATTCACAATTACTGCTATCTGCCGTATCACAAATGCTACACTCCAAATGCCACTATACAACTGACTGGTTGCTGGCTAACTCGGAACTAACTCGGAGGTAGCTCGAGGACTGACTCGGCGGTAGCTCCAGGACTGACTGTGAATAGCCTTCGCTGCTCCTTATGTAGCCTCGATCGGACAATTGTCGTCTGGTGCCGTGTTGCTAGCCACGCTGTCCGGAGTTGTTGACTGCTGCCTAGCAACCGCGATATCCCTCGGTGACATCACCGCTGTTGACTCGCTTGCATAGCTTCAAGGTTGCGGGGGCCTCGGCTAACGTCGGCTCCACTCGGCTCACTTCGGCTCCGCTCATGACGTCACCGCGCGTTGCATAGCTACCAGGATGCGGGGTGATTACTCGCCTATTACGCGAGCGCTACGTTACCGCTACGTGCAGCTGGGGAGGTAGGGGTCAACATGTCACACTGCTCCCTCCTTAAGGCTGTTTGTCCCGAATAGCCTAACGGCGCATCCCCGTTCCTTTTCCTCGGTGGCTGTTCTTGCAGTGTCTCCCGTTGTTTCGGCTACTCTTCTTGCAGCGACTATTCTTCGTCCGTTACATCCGCTCCCCTCTTAAGACAAAGCTCGTCTCGAGTGGTTTCCTTTCAGCTCGCCAGAAGATCACATTCATCCATCGCTTTCTCCCATGGCACATTCTCACTCTCTGGGGAGGCCGGTTCTCCTACATTACCGGTTCCTCCTCTGCTTGAGGTCTTTTTCGTTTTGGAGGGGGTCGTCCCCTCCACAAGGTCCAATCCTTGCTGCATTTCTGTTGTGGCTGACGCCGCCTCCCGGACGTCTGTCCTGTCACGGTTGTCGTCCTTCCTTTCCCGACTTCTTTCCCAGCATTGACCTTCGTTGAGCATCTCCTTACGGGATCTCCCTTGAACCGTGTCGCACCTGCACGACTAGTCATATTGCTGTCGGCAGCCAATTCGTGCCATGGGCCACAATTTCCTTGGGTCGTAGATTTCTTGAAGATGTTGCGTTTGCGCCAGGGCACTGTTGCGCGGCGGGACACCTTCGTGTGGGCGACGGCCAATTTATTCTGGGGTCCGCAATTTTTCCGTGTCGGGTTCTTCATATTCCGTCGATGTCGGTCCTGACGCCTTTTCTTCTTCGGTTCTCCGACCAGCATTACTGTGGCGTCTTGTACGGGTGCCTCTAGTAGTTCTGCCGCCTCAGGTTTCCTGTGCACTGAAACCGGCTTTTCATCTTCTGGACATGCCACCATTTCTTGGTAGGCCATCGTCACTCCGACCGGTATAACAATGGGGACCTCTTCTTGTTGTGCCGCTGTTGCTGGGGTTGCTCTCGTCTCCACGGAAGTCTTTTCTCGCCAGGCATTGAAGTCGGCGTCTAATTTTGTCAGCATGACGTCGATTTGTTTTTGGTTGACGTCTAATTTGGCCAGGAAATCTTCTTTATCTTTCTTCCTATTTGCCTGCATTTCTTCTTTGTCAACCTTCCTATCGGCCTTTACCTCTATCAGCATCTCCATTATTCGTTGCAAATCTTGTTTCTCCATTTTTGCAGCAGTAGAATAGGCAAAGCGGTCGTACGTTTAATTATTCTTTGAGGCGTATTTAAGCTCGTAAAAATTCTGACACCAAATTGTCACGTGTCTTGAGTTCGAACCTCGTTGATCACGTGTGTAAGTCCAAATCCCACTTCTGACACCAGTTGTCACGTATTGGGCATATATATCGCCACAAATACCTTCACGCCGTATTTAATATAGCGAATTTTATTTCACATTCGCACTTACAATCACCCAAATTACAGATTCACAATTACTGCTATCTGCAGTATCACAAATAGTACACTCCAAATGCCAGAATACAACTGACTGGTTCCTGGCTAACTCGGAACTAACTCGGAGGTAGCTCGAGGACTCACTCGGTGGTAGCTCCAGGACTGACTGTGAATAGCCTTCGCTGCTCCTTATGTAGCCTCGATCGGACAATTGTCGTCTGGTGCCGTGTTGCTAGCCACGCTGTCCGGAGTTGTTGACTGCTGCCTAGCAACCGCGATATCCCTCAGTGACATCACCTCACCGC